GGGGGGGGGGGGGGGGGAGGGATAGAGATAGAACATGTAATTACTGGCAAAGAATGAAGCTTTCCATTCCCATACGATTTTTGTTACAAAGTGGCAGTGAATGCACAGTTAGGAGTTAAATTGGTAAATTGTAGAAGATCCCAAAGTATAGGCCTACCATTATTTGATCTACAATATAGGTCAGATCATCCCTTTACTTGTTTTAGTAAGGTCATATGAGCGCCAAGGGAACTCATACCACATGACCCTCGGTCAACACACACACACAAAGAATAAGTTCCTCAGGCTGAAGGAACGAGTTTCATAGAGTTGATTCTATTCTATGACTGGGTTCACTTTCCTTTGCCAATGCAGGTCTTGTTGAAAGATCCGATAAGACTGCTGAAGTAGTTATTCTTGTAAGTAGTAGTCTAGTCTTTGGTGGAAATAATTCAGTCTTTCCAGTGCATGTGGAACACAGGCTTAGACATTTATGGTATTTCCAGGGTGTGGTCAATCCTAATTGCTGACTTCTTTTGCTGATTTTACCCTGCTCCTCCTCCCATCGCTTGCTTTTCATAATGGGAATCCCAGGAAAAGCCTTTTTTTTGTCTTCTAGATCTTAAAATGTTGGCACTTTTACTTCCTTTTGCATGGGATCATCCCCCTCTTAGTTCATGAATCTGTGGTGAGTCTCATTACGTATTATGTAGGAATGAAATTCATTGCGTACACAGAATTACATAGTTTATAAGAGATGTTTTGAACTTTTCTGTATTTTGCATGCATAACACAGGAACACAACCGCTGCCTGAAGGTGAGATGTGTGCCATGATTTTGCACTGTTTTAACAGAACCAAAATACCCTTGTGATTTTAAACAAAATACTGAGAATTATCTTTCGTATTGTAACACATAACATATGATTTATGAGCTCTTTAAGTTTCACTTGAGAACCTGAAAATAATGGCTGCAAATCTCGCTTATCGACACTCTCAATTTTCTCTGATCTGTGAGATTGTGCTGCTTTCATCTCGTTGTTCTTTCTTCTGTCACAAGGAATTTGAGTAAGTGAAAGGAAGGAATGTTTAAATAATTTTCTTTGCCTTTGTTCGCGAAATCTTTATTTTATGTCCATTGAGAGGGTAGAAAAAAAACTTTCTTAAAAAAACAAACCCAAAATTGTTGTCACTGTAGCAGAACACTCTGTACTTTATGACTCTGGCATCTATATGAAGGTACTACTATTTTCAAACAATAATGCTCGCGCGCGCGTGTGTGTGTGTGTGTGCGCGTGTGTGTGTGTGTGTGTGTGTCTGTGTTTCTGCGTGTGTATACACAGACACACATTCTCAAACTCTCTCACAATAGATCTATATTTTATTGTATGGTTGCACACCCTCAAACACATGATAGGCCTTGTCATTTGCAACATGAAAATGTAATTATAATTTGAGTTCGCATGTTTTTTCATCATTCTAAAGGGCAAAAAGAAGCACCTTTCTTTAATTTTTAAAGTATGTTTGAATTCTTTATATTTTGGGCTTTGACGTGAGTTAATGAACTCTAATACTTACAGCATGGCCCTAAAATGCTAATTGGCGCATTAATTCTTGACAGGCATATCGATCACTGCCTCTTGCTTCTCTTCATTCACCATCCACTTTCTTCTTTTCCCACTCTTTGCCATCCCATCATAACCCAAAAGTACTAATTAATAGTCACAACTCAGAACTCTTTTTTTTTTGCCTCCTAAGACCACACAGTTGCACGCTTAGTTTCTGGGAAAGGGCCTATTATTAGTAGATGCAGGAAAATTCTTTTGAGAGTCGGACTGGAGAGAGACCTTTAGTGGGTTGAGGAGCACTGAAGAGACACTGCTCATCTGTAGGAGGTACATCCCCTACAATAAAAAATAGTGGCATAAAAGTAATGAAGATCAACCTGATTTTCTTTATTCTTCCTTCTTTCGAAAGAGCTTTGCCTTGGAAGTGACCTGTTGTGTATGTTGAGAGGGCCTGGTTGCACTCTCATGTATACACCTGTATGTAAAATGTTACCTTTTTTGCTGTCATCATCACTATTTTGGGGAAAAAATCAATAAGTTTTGTACATCTTTACTTTCAATCTTTTTTAGAGAAAAAAATTCTCTAGCTTTCCATCTTCACAAAGTGAATTTGTGCTTGTAGTCAACACCACAGTTTATCTCGGGTAACGATTTCTATATTATATAATGAGTAAAGAGTTCACTGATAATGGGGTGTTTATCAGCCTTTACTTTTTACACCACAACTTCATTTACTTAAAGTACTTGGAGACGTTCAGCTGACACTGCAAAGAACTTTTTACTAACTTTGTCCAAATGTACTGTTAACTGTGTTTAATCTTCATCATATTACATTGGATTCATTTCTTATTTATTTTAGATTTTTGATACATGCTCAAAATGTGAAACATAGAACCGGAAAAAAGGAATTGTTTGAAATATATTATATGAGGCTTAATTTGGATTTGCTTTTAAATGTTATTTTGTTTTTCCATGTCGAGGATCTTGGCAAAACAACAGGTGTTTCAAGATACTTGTTTGGTCTTTCAAATAAAAGAACATTGAAAATAAAACTAGAATGTTTTCAATGTGTTGGAGTGTAGGATTAGTGTTTTATTCTTGACCTGTGGTCATGCCTTATTAGTGCTATTTTTCAATAACATATTTACTTTAAAGGACTATTAAAATTCATAGATATCAGTCTCAAGTTGCATTATTTTATTATAATAATTTTGGGGGAAATCTTGAATTTTTTAGAACTTGTGATAAAGTGACTCACTTTTAAAAGTACCTCACTTTTAAAAGCAAGATAGTCAGCTTAAAAATTGTTTAAAATAGAGACTGAATATAATTTTTTGTTTGTTTGATGGAAAGGAGATAAATTTAGAATGATTTATCTCAGGTGATATTCAACAATAACATGAAAACGGGTTGTATTCACAACAAATGTTTTCTTTGAAAACAGAATTGCTTTGTCCTTTTTGATCTGAAGCCTTTATGTCAACTATTTTTATTTCCTTTCCAGTCTGAACTCCCTGGACGAGAATGCCTTCATGAGTGAGAGTACATTTGACGAACAGGAAGTGACCATGGCAATAACAGCCCCAGAAATTGATCCACGTATTGCTGCACAGGCCCTTAAGTCAGAAGCATATCTGTCAGCGGTCATCTCTCAGCATGATGCAGAGCTTGAGGGGCAGGACTTAGATGACCTGATTGAAGATGAGGACGAGGAGGAAGTGGGTATTGCTGTCTTGCCTAAGAAGAGTGAAACTGATGACATCGAAGTAGGCACGAGCAGCAGCAGTCGTAGAGACAGTGGGATGGAGGAACAGTCGGCAGGGGGCTCTGTCCAGAACGCTGACCCTCCACCGTACGCTCCGTATTCCGATGTACTTAATGAGACAGCCAGCTCACAGGGCAGTAAGGGAAGAGAGAAACCGGCTGTTGTCAGCAAAACCAGCTCCATGAAGAATGGTGCCCTCACGCCAAAGATGAACGTGAGCAACAGCAACGAAGTGATGAAGAAGAACAGGCCCTCTGCTGTGGTGCAGCGACACAGTAGTGTGCCACGGAACATCAACAGAGTGCAGAGAAACAGCAGTGGGGTGCAGTCAATTGATAGGAAGTTACGCAGAGCTGCACATAATGGAGAAGTGTATGGCATTCCCAGGCATTCTGGTTCATTGTCCGACAGGGCTGTGATGGCGAACAACCGAGACGCTGCTGTCGAAAGGGCAGTACCCGATGATGACCCTCCAGCGTATTCAGATTTCAGAAATGGCCTTCAAGGAAATCAGACTGTTACATTAACAGACCTTTAGCCTTTATTTTGTGTATATTTGGTAGTGGTAAATCTCCTGTTAATTTGTAGTTCCGTCTTCTAAGTCTTACTTTGTTTCTAAAATGAATGCAACTTGAAAAGTATGTCTTATTGGGAAGAGACATTTTGAAATTCACAATCAAAAGTGTTCATTCATGTAATTACTGATTTCTTTTTATGTTTATGAAGATGAGACCTTTGTCTCAGATTTTACCATGTTACGAAAAGTGTATGAGGTTTCAGAAGTTTTCTATGGGGATTCCTATTATTCTTTTTCTACGGGGACTTCTTTAATCATTCTCAAATATAGTTGCCTTTTTTAGGTCTGTTTCCTTACTGTTCAAAAAGTTTGGGTCAATTTTGTTTATACTGAAAGCTCTTTGTTTTTTAGATTTTTGTGCTTTTTGGATGTGAATTACTCCATGCAAAGAGTTTATTTATCCCCGAAATTTTGTGTATACATTGTATATTTTTATACGACTTTTCTTATTTCAAAATCTGTAGTATGCTCATTATTCAATCTAAGAAAAGTTTTCCTGCTCTGGGGAAAACTACAGTGTATTGGAAAAGTCTTTCATGTAAACCTGAATAGTGAAACAGTCCTGTTGTATTTATTATAATTATAATGTGGAACCAGATTGGATGGCTTTCCAGAAATCCAGATGCTTGATATTGTCCAGATTTTGCTAGACTTTAGGCCGATCATTGAGAGGTTGTGCACTTAATACTGTAAAAGCAGTCTTGATACGATGTGTTGACAAAGTGATCAGTAAAATTTAAGTCCCCATCCCTGTGTTTCAATAGGTTGCGGAAAGGGTAGGATTTTTTGTTTTTGTTTAACGAGATGGCACCTCTGATATTCTTACAACTCATCTTCACTCACAGCTCAAGCATACAGTGGAACTCGGATTCAATGATCATGAAAACTTAGATTCAATGAAAGGAGATGGATTCCCTGTTTTTGTATTAATTAAAATCGATAAACATAACTCGGATTTAAGGAACATGTAAAAAAGCAAGCTCGGATTTAAGTAAGTTGCTTGCAGGGTGAACAATCCCTGTCAACGTGGCTTTGCTCATTTTCCTTCGGCATCGAACCTTATCTTTTCCTGGAAACCCTCAAGAACTGTTATCTGCTTAGCTTATTGTAATATCTCATGCGACTAATCAGAGGCCTTCTTTCATTTCAACATGCACACGTGTCTTTTCCTGTGTCGGGGTCAGACGGGCAACCACGCGTGTGACTGTGTGCACATGTATCTCGGGAGAACGGCCCGGGCACGGAACGCCAGTACAAACAAGATAAAGCGCTCCTATAACCTTATGCAGTTGCGAGCGCAGTAAAACTCTTATTAAACTAAACTAATAGATACATGCATCAGTCATTTTCTCCCCTAATGCAGCTACCGGTAAATATCACAATGATGAGCTAGTTTTGACCAAGATCTATTAATGACTTGCGAGCTGGTCTGTGGAATCCAACATCGCTGTTTGCTAGACTCTACCCAGCAACTTGCGTCAAACAATACGTCATAGATGACACTAGTGTACATTTGAATGAATCGGTCCTTTTGCACAGTGTGTGCTCTTGGCAGAGTTCAGTGTATGTTCCTGGAATTTTCCTGTTTATCTTCAGTATGGCATCAAAGAAACAAAAATGCCTCTCATTTGAAACCTAACAATTTTTGATTGAGGAAGTCAGAAAGGGGCAAAAAAGCTGGCATTTCAGGTTAGCCTACCACTTATTGCCACCTATTATACATTACTTGCTCAGTGCCTGTAATTATTTACACAAAAGCCTCATGTTTGCCATAACGAACACTCAGATTCCAACGACTTCGTTAAATTCAAAGTCCACTGTATTACTTTGGGGGAACATGGGGGTAAGACTGATATCTTCACACACAATGTGATTCTTCTTGCTGTGGACAAATTTTGGCAGAAATATTATTATACCTATCACAAGTCTCGTAGATTTCCTGCAGTGTTATTGAGCAACACATCATATTTGCTTTTTGAGAAAAATGACTTGGCATATGGACAGATTTAGTGGTGTGTCTTTTTTCTGATGATGTCCATGTTTACTGAGATGTTCAAGATTGTTCTCTAGTCTTTTGGATTTGTTGCAGTATGTACTGTAGCAAGTAAAGAAATAAAAATGTTTATGTCGATGATTGTCTTAGTTTTATACTTGTATCTCCCCATGTTCTGCTACAGTAGGCCCACATTTGTTTAAAGAGAAGTAGGATTGGCAACCTGGTTTCTAAAAACATGCATCTTGTTTATTTCTCAAAAAGCAACATTCCAAACTCATTTGATATGACATTGAAGGATCACTCAGGAGGAAGTATATATCCATATATTTATAACTATGACTTCGTAAGTCATATGTCTGCAAGACAGAGAGATTGTGATATTCTATCAAAGATGTTTTTGTTGTTTCTTATCTTCATTCAATGCATTGTTATGTTACATTGTTACCATTGTATTTAATAAAAGATGTAATTAAGAGATATCCTATTTGTACATAATGATGGTCTTTTACATATAGCCTTGTAAACTAGTTGTAGTATACCTTAGCATCTGGCTAGAAATGTTGCACTGCCCAGTGTTTTCATATATGCCTTTATTTCATCGCTGTCACCTGTAGATTTTACACAATTGGCCTTCAGTATCAAGCGGAAATAGTTTCAAGGAAGAACCTTTTGCCCCCTCCCCCTCCCCCTACCCATATACTTCAGTTAAAGTTTATGACACTCAAGTACAGTGATAATACAACATAGGAAAGTAGGGTATGAGATTAGTTATCTATTTGACCAGATTATGTTTTTTAAGATCTATCTCTCTGGCTGTTCTCTTCTAAATTTCAATTTGCCGCATATTTTAACGATCATATAATTGCGCGGTAATCTGAAAATTGGGTTAATATTTTATATCTTTTAAATAGTTTTATTTAAAAAATGCACTTCCATCTTTATTCTTTTACTCACGTCAAGGATAATTCCCATATATTTTCAAAAGTGCAAAAATATGAAAATTTAAATTAAAATTGAAATTAACATATAGAATTGAAAAACTCACAAGAATGATACAATTATACGATCATTAAAACATGCAGCTCAATCTTAAGATTGCCATGCAATTATATGATCGTTAAAACATGCGGAACATAAACAGTGGAAATTGTCTCGACCATTGTCAAGGATAAAGTGCCTGCTTTAGTCAGGTGGATATCTTGCACAGTATCATCATAACGCTAAAAAAACAACACAAGGGGAGAATGGGAAGTGACTGTTAAAACATGTGGTTGTCTTAAACAGGTGGCCGTTAACACTTTCCACCCATGAAACGGGCAGAGCGCGTAAGACTTTTCCCGACAGACAAGGATACTGATGCAGTACACGCTATATAATAATATCACACTGGTGCCGATTGGCGTCCGGTGAGGAAAGGTGGCGGCTTCTTATCGTCGCCAATTGGTGTCCCGTGGGGCAAAGTGTTAAAGCAAGGTTGACTGTATTTACATAAATGAATATGCAGACAATTGAATGATTTAAACAGAATTGCTGAGGAAGGCCACCAATAATTATCTATCTGGAGTAAATTGCAGTGTGGAGTCACAGTGTCCTAACTGCGTCTTTGCAAATGTCCTCCTCTTAGTGGTACTTCTGGCCTGTGGTCAAACTTTATTTGTTTCTCCTTGCCACTTCATCTTCTACTTATTCAGTTCAAATAAATCAAAGCTTTAGGTGCAGGTGGAAATTAAAGCGTGCAATTGTTTCAATGCTAGGATAATCTAAGTGAAGTGTAAAATGACTGGTTTATTTTCAAAGGCATTTTGATAAATTCCGATGTGACTTAGAAATATGGAACTTTGATAGTTTATGCCTGAGACCAGTATTATTACTAATATTACCTGGTATATTTACTGCTCCTGAACCTGCTGCACATGCTGTAAAAAGTATTTGTAGACTCTGATTATTCTTGCTTGAATTTCTTTTTGGAATGTAAGTCATTTTGATTGGTAATGTTCTTTTGGGATATTTTATAGATGTATTAAAATTCGTGGTACTTGTAATCAATTATTTGCATCCTGTTTGAAGACTCTTTTAAATGTGCAAAGCTTAAGTACAGGTTTAAAGTGATTACTGGTTTAACTCTTTATTTGCTACAATTGATCAACATAATTATGGTCATATGGTAAAGAGAAAAATTAAGATATATCGGTGAATAACAGAGACAGAGTTAATAATGATAGATTTTAATTCGTTTGAAGTAACTAATAT